TAATAATTTAATTTCTTAATTTTTTTTAAAGAGGACGCCTATATCACTATGTCATAGCTGGCTCTTTCACAAACACAGTGTAACAGAAACATGCTGTGTACATATCAACCTCGATGCTTGTAGTTGTGGTATTGTTGCATCTACCTCAGGATTAAATCTAGTGTGATGCCATTCTTTCTGAAAATTAACTTGCATATTAACCTACTATTTTAATATCCATCTGTCCCTCGAGAGCACCTCTGTATTAAAGTCATCCGACTGATTAAATAAAGTGGCAAATATTGGAGCTGCAGTGGCGATTCTAAACCGATCTTTGATCTTCTCCAGCTTGTGCGCATTAAGAGCAGTCAAATTGATGCCATTCTACGCAACATATAATTTAGCAATTTTTGCATATTAATTACCATTGACAAGTTGAACAAACTGATTTAATTTAATTTTTGGATCACATTTTGGTCGGACAAGAAATCTTGGATCACATTATAATTAATGTGATCAATTGTTAAAGTTTTGCAACACTTTCAGATTACAGTATGTTTTTATAGATTATTTTTAGCATATTGTTTGTAAATTACATTGCTTGTAAATGATAATTTTGGCAATAAAAATAATAATAACTTATTAATATCTTTGGGAATACATATGTAAAAATTTGTGTTGTAATTTTATTACAGTATTAATGTAAAGAAAGTAAAATGAGAAGATGGATGTAAAAATATAAAAATAAAAACTGGTTTTAAGTAAAGGAGAAGAAATATAAGAATTGAAAATGAGAAATGTAGGTGCGACATTTTTAGAGTTTTTCAGGTTTTATGCTAAAACTTGGAATTGGGATTTCATTTAGAATTCAAAAGCGCATTGATCCAGTTGTATAGTAATGGTTATCATTTGCTTCTAGGACTTGTAATAGAACATACACAAAAGGCAGAATTAATCGCCTTAAGAAACTAAGTCATCAACTAAAAAAATAGACTTGTGACTGCAAGGCTTGAATAATGCATTCTGTTTAGAATTAATGAGTCAAGGTAGAATTTTACTGTAGGTTAGTATTATGCTTCTCAAGTGCTTCTACTCTACAAAACATTATAAATAAGCTCATAGGGTTACTTCATTATTTTGTTTTTAATTTCAATTATATATTATTGTAATTAGAATTAATAGAGGGATTTGGCGATGTTTGGTTAAGTATTGGAAAAGGTAATGTTTTGGTTTTGAAAACAACCACTCACTGTTAACGTGAGTAGTAAATGGCAAGGATTGTTCAAAATAGTGTTTATTTACTTATTCTAGCTTTCTCCTTGCATTGTATGCTTTGAAATTTATGTGATCCTTCGAAAAAAATCTCATATTCCTTGGACGACAAGTCACACAAAGTTTGTGTGGTGAATTTAGGTACATCAACTATCGACTTTAATAGAGTATTAAACTAAAATTACGTTTAAAAGAACGTTCAGCAATTATGATGATCTTTACAGCAATAAAATGGGACAGCCGCCATAGATAGTTTACATCTAACACCCAAGTTAGGTCATGTGACACCCATCGCCGAATCTTTCTATACAATTGGAATACAGTTATCAAATATTTTTGATATTACTTTATCTAACAGTTATTGTTGAAAGGCTTTGATTTAGTAACATTGGAGTGTATAGTTTAATAAATGAATGAATTCTATTATTATTTTCATTCATTAGTTGAATCAAATAAGTATTTTTAGCCACCGTATTAGTAAATATAAGATAAACAATAAATCTGATTGGATACAGATGTACTTCTTTGTTTCTGTATCCAATCAGGTTTTATATTGTTTATCATATATTTAGCTTAATTATCCAATGCTACCTACTAATTTTTTCATTCATTAGTTGGGTTTTTTTTTTTGCAATCTTGCTAATAATATATATACACACTCTTTGGCGGAGGTAATAATCATTCTTAACTACTACTGTATATTTAATTACAGTTCTTAAACCGCAGTTTTAAATTGCACAAACTCACAAAGTAAAAAAGAAGAGTTTTTCTTACTATTCCATTGTGTAAGTTAATAAATTTTCATGTCACTTTTTGGTCTGCAATGTTTAGTTAAACTAGCATCATAAACTAGAATGCGCTGGGTAACAGCTTAATTGGTGGGAAGGTCATGTGTTAATGTAAACTATATGAAGTATTGTAATGTGAAGAGCTTCCATGTATGAATGGACTTGCAGTCATTTCCTAAGAGAATTTTCAAGGAAAAACAGATTATTAAGATTTTAAGCCATCACATTTTATCATGCACTGGAGTAAACACTTAAATTTTATTAAGGTGCTTTGACTGTACATCAACACCATCATAGAGACCATCTTGTATTTACTCGTTTGAGACTGTATTGATTGCATTAAATAATAGTATGCAAGTAAAAAGCAGCAATATTCAAGTACTTTATTATCTATGATTACCGGTAATTAAATTATTTTGTAATTTGAATGAAGGAATGAATAAATGAATGAAATATTGCTGTAGCGCCAGAATCTGGTTAATATCAGTTATGGTGCTTTGTAAAGGAATGAAAAGAGCTTTTCGTCACCTTATGGAATATCAAATTCAACACTCTAAAAGTTTTTAATTTTGCATTCATTTAAAATTGTTAATTATTAAGATGTAATAATCGAATGTAGGAAATAAGCCACCCCTGTTAAAAGCTACCCTTGTCAAAAAGCCACCCAACAATGGACTATACTATTATTGTAAGGTGGGGTTGTTTGTGCACCTCCCTTACAGTAGTATAGTCCATTGTTGGGTGGCTTTTGACAGGGGTGGCTTTTAACAGGGGTGGCTTTCTTCCGATTACACAATAATCTTCCTTATTTTTACAAGAGAATACTTTGAAACCATAAAATGAATTGGTACATTGTGTAGGGTACAGTGGCTCTCATCCACGGTATTGAACCACAAACTGACTATTCTTTTATTTTTTTTCTAAGTGAAGTATAAATATTTAATATTTATTTTATTTTCTGAATTTTCTCATATGAATATAATTCCAGAGGGGTGGAGGTAATGACCACAAAATTAATCTGTAGTATTTAAAAACAAAAGAAATGATATAAAAGCCAAATTATTATTACTAATGTTACTTTTAATAACAGCATCTTCACTTGAACTACATATTCTTATGATATTAAGACTTTAAATACAATTATAAAGTATTGTTGAAATATTATATACTGTATGTGTCTTAGTAATTGGATTGATATATAGTGATGGTATTATGATGAAAGTAAATAATGTTTTCGAGTTGCTTTCAAAGGCCTGTCCCAAAGGACTATTATCTATCTATATTTCTTGTTAATGACGAACCCAATCATAAAGCCACTAAGCCATGAAGATTGTTTGCTTTATTTGCATTAAATTGAGATCGCTATCTATTGATAAGCTACTATCAGTCAATATTGTCATAGAGCAAAGAAACAGATTGTCTAATCCCCATCTTTTATTGGAAGCTTTGCTTGTTGGTTTATAATTTTAATCCCACCAACATTTTGTCTTCATAATATCGGTTAGTGGTCTGTATACCATAGAGATAAAAAATGTTATACAGAAGCACCGATCTCTCATTGTTATTACATTGTCTGCCTTCGGCTAGTTCTTGGAATAGCAATTATTTTCATTTTTTTGTGTTCATTTAGCTTTGAAAACCACAGTTAATTGTTATGTTTTTAGGTGTTCTTTGTACAATATAGCTTTGAATAATAATAATAATAATCTTTCACTCCAAGGCTGTGAGGTACATAAATAGAATTATGAAACTTCAAAACAAATTATGCACAATTGACAGCCTAAATTCAATATCATTACTTTATTGTAATTATTGGTGAATAAAATTAAGATTCTGCTTTGTAAAGCTGAAAAACTCGGGCAAAAGAAAAAAATGTTAGAATTGCTTACTCTCTTTGTAGCTGTGTAATAATTATAAGATAAATACTGAAAAATGTATGATCAGATATTAACTATATTGTGGTTCATAAATTAGCACTGATTTTGTTATCACCAATATTCAAGTGACATCTCTAAAGCCCCTTTCAGACAGAAAATACCGCAATAATACCCTAATCACGTCGCCGTTATTGCCGGCTCAGACCCTTTCACACAGCTAGTTAAAATACGGTAATAATACCGTATCCTGTCTGAAAGGGTTCTTGCGGAAAGGAGTATTTGATGTCTGTGGTGCTTGTGCTTGTTAACAAAGAGGGCGCAAGTTTTTGTTTACTATGGCCGGGGAAGAAGTCATAAAACTGCTGCTTTGCAAATGTTTTTTAATGCTTGCTATGTTTGCAATACATATAAATTGAGAAACAGAAGGTTTCTAATGCGTTTCGTTCAAGGGAAGAAAGAATTTAGGAAGCGTTTAAGGCGAGGCCGGCTTGAATTTCGAGCAGTTAGGTGCAGGCGATTTTCGCATCTAAAAGAACCGTCAGCTAGCGATTTCATCGGCTTTGTTAGCTGTAGTAGCGGTTGATGGCTGCTCGTGTGACCGTCTGATTTGATATGCCTCATTGCGTAAGACGGCGATGAACCCTGTACCCTTTCACATCGAGTTGGGCAAAACTCGCTACGGTATTAATGCGGTATTAAGACTAGGTCCTGAGGAGGTCTAACTGAAGCCGGCGTTTAGGCGTATTTACCCTTTCACATAGAACGCCGGCGTTCGAGTAATACGGTATTAATACCGTTTTGGAGGTCTGTCTGAAAGGGGTATTAGTGTAGAAAAGCTTACGGTATATTGATAACTACATTTAAAAACAAATATCTATTAAATGTTTGTTTAATATAAAAAAAATTGTTCCAATCAATCCAATTATTCAACATGCATTTGTATAGCAGCAATATCCAGAGCAGAGCGCAATGCTGCTTCAGCATGACAATAGTATACACATTAACTTCTGCGGTGAATTGACATGCTATTTATGTAAAAAGAATCTGTAAAAATCCTAAAAATTGTTTTATTATATTATTTTCAGATTAAATCCAGATCCTTTGTTGTTCATATCGGTGATTATGATTGGTGTCACGATTGCTCTGATACCACTTTGCCATGAGCTCTGGATGCTAGCCGTCGTCCTCGCCATTATGGGCATATTCATGGGTATCATTGATACAGTCGCCAATGTCTCTCTTCTAAAAATCTACGGAAAATTGGTTTCTCCGTTTCTACAGGTAAGGAAAAAAGTTAACGGATATAAATTGTATTATTTTTATTTTGATGGATTTCTTTTGAAAGGAGCCTTGAATGTGGCTTTTGTGACAGTATCAGTCATACACAGTGCACATTTGATCATTAACATCATACTTCACAAAGTCTAAACCTAATATTCATTGTGATACAACATACACTTCCCCCCAGCTATTACCTGACCAATGATTTTAAAGGGTGAGTTGTTATAGTGATAATGGGTTGGTCTTTTGTGCAAGAGGGTCAGAGTTCAAACCTGCCATTGCCATTCTTGTTTGTGTCCTAGGGTAAGAAACAGTTTGTCCTATTACCTTGTCTACTTTGGATGGAATATTAAGGCATTGGTCCTGTGTGCATGATAGCACCTGACTGCACAAACTCAGTGAACTGTTTGAAAAGAGAAGGGGATTATCTCATGGTGTGCTGTACTGACCGTGGTAGGTGATGCACTGTGTATTCTGCGGCTCCTTAGGTCCTACAGTATTCAGAATATCCGTTTGATTTCTACATGAACTATATTTAAATTTAAACAATTTATAGAACTAAAATCACATCTAAACATTGAAACATATTACATCAGTGTAATACAATGTAATGTAACACAGTTGTGTTGAATTTGTGAAATCAATAAACAATGAAGTTTACATCTACTATATCAAAAAATAACAAAACATCCTACAAATTTGTAGTGTAGGACATTTATCCTGATACTTAATGTTGTTCATCTGATTTTATTAAAATTGTTCGGAAGGGGGGGGGGCTGGTGGTTCTAGAGTTACATAACATTTAGAGGGGGGTTTGGAAAAGTGTTACAGAGTATTATGGGGAGGGGGATGTCAATATTTGCCAAAAAATGTGTTACATAATACTTGAATGACCCCTAAGAGGATCAGGGGTTATTTACCATTTTGCCTACTATACCTTAAACTACCAAACTAGGCATATATTGTATTATTTTAGCTATAATTTGTTGAAGCTATTATAATTTTGTGGCATTATCATGAATTTTCATCAGCCTTTTCATAATTCCTGTAAGCAAAACAAATTTTAATATTAAATGTCTTCTATTATTAAGACAAATAAATATCTCTGTAGATTCACAGTCTGGTCGCTAAGTAATGAAAGAAAACAGAATGCATTATTTTGGTGAACAAATATCTAGGCCTTACAGGTAGGCCTTTAGCAAAGGCGCAATCTGTGCCAAGTATAGGATTAAATCAACATGCTGAGTTTGACCTGTTCTTAATACGCTTTTTATGTATTGACACTTAAAACCCGGTTTCACGATTGCATTGTGTAATGAAAACATTTGCCCAATTAATCTGCAGGCAAAAGAAGACACATAACACAAATGCATACTTCAATTCCATTGATACATTACTTTGCCGTGTGGAACACTCCATAATAAGTGGAGGCGATAGCTCACTGCCTGTTTGACAAAGATCCAATGACCAATGGTAATATTGAACAGTGCTTTAACAGTGTTAGAGGAACTCAAAACTGATCATTTAATTGTAATATCATATGGTATGCTAGTAGCCTGCTTTACAGGTATCTGACACCATCAAGTGACTAGTGTTGTAGCAGCTGCATTGCAGCCTTTTGGTCACCATGATTGCTGACAACAGGTATTTTATTTTTGTACACCCTGTAAACATAAGATAGGAAACATCACATCAGGATATTTCATGGAGTGATGTTTTGCTCTATCTGAGGTGTTAAATTTGCTGACACAAACAATTACTTTGGGATCAGATTCAACACTATACTAGCCACTAAGCACAAGCGTGGTGGTGTAGTGGTTATGACACCAGGCTACTCATATGAATGTCATGGGTTCAACTCCTACCTGAATCACATACAAGATTTTTTTCACAAGTATTTTGAAGTATTCAGTATGATAACAGGTTAAGTAGGGAAAACATTACTATATCAAATTTATTATGGGGATTTTGGCACCATTTTGATTATGATAAATATAACAGTTCATGAGTTCATATAGATACTGTCATATAATCTGAAATACCTTGAAAATTTAATTAAAAAAACTGACAAAATCCAAGATACAACCTCAAGCAATGTATCCACATAATTGCAGAGACTTGTCTTGTGACATCATCATTTTAACTGGAAGGAAAGAAAGAAGGGCTCCCCAGCTTGTGAGCTCTGACTCTGGTTTTGACTTTACTTTTGTGATAATAGCCTTTGTCCATATTTGAACTTAGCTATGATACCTTTTATTAGGATTAATGCAAAATATGAGTAATATGTACATTTTGAGCAGGAAGGTAATAATTTAAGTCAATCACAAAACTACTTTTCCTGAAAAAAATTCAAAATAAAATATATATACTATATATACTATTATACTATATTCTTATATGCACCAAACTTGACTAAATTCATCTCAACAGTATTTTTCACAAATTAATTTAAATTGGCAATAAAGAATAAAGAACTTTGATTATCCTGTGAAAAAGCTACCAATTGCAAATCTGAATGATAGAAACCCTTTTTTGCAGGCCTTACATTTCTGCTACGGTCTTGGTGCATTTGTCAGCCCAATAGTTGCTGAGCCTTTTCTACTAAATGAAGATTGTACAGCGTTCATCGAAAACGAGACAAAAAATGCTTCTGACAGAACAGTAAGGCAAGCAGAGGAAATATTGGTTACAGAGGCATATGGGGTGACGGAAGCGCCAAACACCACGATAGCAACGTTAGAAGAGGCACAGCATAAAACACATGTGCGATATGCATTCTGGATCATGGCTGTTATTCAGGTACAGTAATTATGGTTATTATATTTTTAATATTGGTTGGATGGGAGAGGTGTTTTTTACCATTTTACTTTCTTGCATCTTTCTCGATGGGCCATTTTACTAAGACCAATTTTACGAATAATGATTTTACAGAGAATCATTGATAAATTTACTGGACTTTATATAATTAAAGTAATTCTTGTAATATAATATTTATTGATTGTAAATTGGCCTACTCCGTTGTTGAGTATTTCTTTCTCAATTATGAGTAATAATTGATTGAAGTTTGTTAATATTTGTATGTTACATCAGCCAATCAACAACCAAAAGCTTTGGATGTTTAATTTCAACAGAAGTCACAAATGTTGGTTGGTTTTCTTTAGTTTGTGATATCCTATGAAAGAATTATTTCAGTGGGGACTTTGTGGTGGCAAGGATAAATGCTGGGGTGAGTGGGGATAGTCTAAAAGACACAAATACTAGCCTATGTGACATTAACTGCTGTTTTTTGGTTCTTTGGTTAAGAGGTTAAGAGGATCATTCATGAAAGTAATATAATTTTAATCAAGAAAAACAATAATTTATTTTTTTTATTTTTTATGACGGGGATTACTACTGTAGCCCTTGTAACAGTGGTCATCATCATGTAATTATCATTAATGTATATTTTTTCTTCTGTTTAGTTCTGTCTCATGAAAATGTAATATAGATCATGGACTACTAATAAATAAATAAATCTAATGCCGAGATTATGTACTCAGTGTAATTATATATTATTTTTTTCTTCTAAACTTCATTAGTCATGTTTATCTCAGCAAATATTGCTACCTGCCTCTCATATTATATCAATTAAGTGCCTGAAATCAGATATTAGATGGCTAATTGTAGCAAGGAGGTATTAATCTATTATGTTTCCTTTATTAATAAATTCTCTTATTGATTTGGTTACACTTGCTGAATATTGATTTTACTACCTCTTGATGCTAGACTCGCTTCAATTCCCACTTCTGTTTTCATCAATCAACGTACTGTAACACATTTCTGTTGGTGATTCCCATCAATATCACATTTGAAATCAGAATTGTGAGTGAATTGATTCTTTCAATTGAGTGTTGATGGATCTAAGCCAAACTAAAACTTTAAATGAGGCATACAAAAGTGTGTAGCATCTAAGGTTCTGTGGTAGAATAATGAGTGATTAGCAGGTTAGTGCTACAGAAATAGACTAGTGAACTATATGTTTAATGACCACAGTGCACTTTCACATAAAAGACAATGAAGAAGGAGGCTTGTATTTCAATAATGCACTACCACTCTAGTCTAAAGTGCTCAATGTTGCAACTTGCACTAATTGTAAAAATGTCTCATCATAATTTTGTAATCATTCATCTTTCCTTGAGTGTTTTTAATTAGCACATTATTTCAACTATCTTCAATGTTTAGCATAAAATGTAAACACATTGAATTCTCTATTGGGTTTTCCAATAAGAAGTAAGCAACCATTTTATAACCATGATGAAGTCGACCTAGACTGCTGTGAAAAGCTCAACATTCTCTAATAATACGGTAAATATTATTTAGTTTTTATATTAATCTCCAAGGTAAGATAGTATAATGCAGACTCCTCACATTGTCATAACGCCGAGGCGCTTAACAACAACATAGGGAACAAAAAAATAAATGATAAGCAAACAAATGAAAGGATCTTTTTTAAAACAATCATCCCAATGTAATTTTTTCAGTCCATTCGCCAGTTTAATCTAATCAACACACAGTGCAAGGTCTTTTGACTCACTAACTGTATCCATTCGATCGACAACTGCAACATTTTAGGCCTGAAATCCATTCCTTCCATTCTGCTTAACTTCCTACATGATGGAATTTTAAATAAATATTGTACAGTGTCATTTTGTGGAATAACAAATTACAAAAGTAGCCTTATATACTGAAAATGAGTTGTGCGTAGAATGTTCAGCTGAAAATGGAGTGCTTTTCTAATGACTTTTGGTAATTAATGCAGTGTAACTATTTGTCTATAGATTACAAAAAGACTCACCAATCAAAAACCACAAAATGAAATTATTTGGATTACATTCTTGGAAATGAGAAAAAAAGAAAGTCATAATTATGTGAATACATATTATGAGCTACTGTGAGTTGTGAGATAGTTAAGAGTGAATAGTGAGTTATAATAGCAGCAATATTTTATGTATTTAAAACTTGTTAATTAAATCAACATTCCATTATCAACCATGAAAAAATATCTGATGATTTCAGCATTTGTGGCTAAGACAAGCCAAACCAGTCACTCGTCACAAATCCTGTTTCAGAGATAATGGCCAAAACATGCTGCAATGTCAACTTTTTTGAAATCTATTTTATTACACTAAACTAACCTTTATATATCTATATATCATGCTATCCTGTATGTCCCCATTTTCAATGTTAAAACAACAATTTTTAATGATTTGGTATTTATGGTGTCTGCCTGGGAAATTGCCCTAAATCATAAACTTCAAAGGCTAATTTATCAAATATTGTTCTTTAAACAGCTGTATGTTTAAACTACTGTAACTTCATAAAACTTCACAAAATGTCGGACTTGAATGCTTCTTTTACAATTTTAGAGCTCTCATTTTTACTGTTTAACCCTGTATTAATAACTGAAAATCGATTTTTGCGACAAGTGGCTGGTTTGGTTCCTCTTTGCACATTTGTTTTCAAACAAATAGTACAGATCGGTTGAACCTTAGCTTGATGGTTAAATGGTTAAGGTGCTTTACGTTTGTTAGTTATGGAAATTTTTGTGAGCCAAAGTATATGAAACCCATGAAAAAAATTAGAATGAACACATTAGTATTAGAATAAAAATAGTTTAGTGGGTGTTAATATTGTCTTAATCAATATATCCTTAAGAGAGTGACTTCCAAGTTTTTTGGAATACAACTGTAAGCTTTACATAATTGCATTCCCTGATATCATAAATCTCAGTTTGAGGGAATAAAAATGATATTTGATGCCTTGTAAATGATTGCAGTAAATTAGTTTGGATGAAAATTTCATTACTTGTCACTGCAAAGTGTAAAGATCTCCTAGAAAATATTTAAAATACTAAAGTAAATATGATATAAGAAACTACAGTACTTAATATCTTAAAATTTATACTAATACTGAAATGTCTTTTAAATATTATATTCATAAATTGTACTACTAACTATATTTTTTTGATATTTGTTGAAGCTCAATTTCTTAATGCTACTCAACAAGAGACGAGTCATTACTATAAAATGACAAATTGATACAACCTGTAGTGTTTTTTTTTTCTCCAAGCTGTTTTCCATGTATTATAATATTGCCTCTGATGCATGAATTTTTCATCTTTGTCTTGCTAACATTCTATGGATCAATGGGATGCAAGTGTGGCTATATGATCAGTCAGTAGTCAGAGCTGATGATTGTTACTCAAGCTCTTTGATCTTTGTTTTTTTTTTTTTATCTCTTCCTAATGTATTATTGTTTGTTAGACATAACATTATTTACTCAGTTGAGAGGACGTTCTTAACGTCAAGACGTTCTTAGCGTAAATTAGATCGCTCAACTTGGCTTTGCACTTGGCTTGCTGTACTCCACAGCATGCAAATGAGCAAAGAACATCATATGGTTCCATTCTTGGTCAGATTCCTCTTTGTTATGTTTCATATACCGTATTGTATTAGAATAGGCCAAAGCAAAAAATAATGTTAACCAAGTTGTAGCTGAGTAAAAATTCTTCTTGCTTCTGAAGAATAATTTCAACATTTAATCTATTTTGGTTTTATGTTAGGACAACTGAAGTCCATAATTTCATGCTTAGCAATAAATTCACAAATGAGAAGAAAAATTACTTTGCCATTCATAAGAGTAATTTCAAGTTTTCTATTTAAAAATCCTCCTCATAATGATGTTCTGGGAAGGAAATTTTCAGCTTTTTGTGAGCGATTTGTGAAATTTTATGAGAAAATTAAACTCAAAACTCTCATTTGTTTTATTTCTTGCTGGAGGGCTATACTTATGAAGTTAATCTAAGCATACATGTGTGGCTGCAGGCCAGTCTTAGGTTGGTACACTGCACTATAGAGAAGCTTGTGCACTATACTGAACTCAAACAATGTATAATATTCCATATGATATTGTTTATTTTTGATGACCAAAGTGGATACAATATCCTACAGAGACCTTTGCTTCTGTTTTTTTAGTGTTCATTACTAGAATGTATTATCGTTATTTTCAAGGGCCTGATTAAATTTATGGAAGATGATCAATTTTCAAAATTAGAAAGTATTCTTTTATTTCAAAGCATAGCTAACAGCAAAATTTTGCCCATTACTTGAGGGGAGCCATAACTTTATAAACCGAAAGGTCCACTGATTAATCTCAGATAAGATAGTATAATACATACTCCAAGTATCGAAAAGCACGCCCTCATGTTGGAATTCAATTGAATCCATACACGATGGCGTGCATTTTGATACTTGGAGAATGTATTACACTATCTTGAGCAATAGCGTGGTGGTTAGATTTTCTAGTTTCAGGCATCTGGGTTCAAATCCCTGATTAAACAAAATACGAAATAGAAGGTTAAAAGTACAACATTTGCAAACACTATAAAATTAACAAAAGATAAGGTTCCCTTCAATTATAGACCACATTTCTTTGGCCCCAGTTGAATGCCTATCTTTTATCATTAGCTGTCCCAATTAAAGATTCTCTCTACAGTGTTTAGAGACCAAAGATTCGGTTTTGGTGGACCCAACTGACAATTTTCCCGCAAATCAAAAATAGATAGTGATGTTCATGCAATTTTTAGTTCCTATGCATGTAATGCAATAGGAACTATTGTATTCACTTTTTTTGCGCATGTGTGTATGTATGTGTGTGTGTATGTGTGTGTGTAGACATCTTCAGGAAAAATTTTCGCAACTTTTTGTTTTACTGACAGTGACATGCCTAATGTTACTCTTGGGATTAGTTTACTAATTCATCACTTTATT